GCCTAACCCCCAGGCTCAGCTCTGGCTCCCACCCGGCCTCCAAACCCCGACTGGCTACACTAGGGGAGCAGCTCCTGGGCCAGGCCCTGCACATGTGGCTGGGAGACCCCAGTTGCAGGCCAGGGGAGCCCAGGGGGAGCCTGAGCTTCCACCCCCACCCCGTGCCTCTCCCCTAGGTCTTCAGACAGCTCTGGTTTCCTTTCTTTGCTCATCTTGGAGAAGCCACATTTTCCAAACCAAAAGTCAGGGCTTGAGGTCTAGTGGTCTTCGTGAACCAAGGGGCAAAAAGGCCGGAGAGTTTGGCCTGGGATTGTCATGCCACCCAACAGTGCATGATTCATGATGTTGCCCTTTTTGCTCAGCCTTCCAGGAAGCTCAACACTAAAATTAAGGGTCTTGTTCAGTAGCTAGTGTTGGCTGAGGGGTTTTGGAATATTTTCTCTTCTATGTTCTTTAAAATTCCATTTCTGTTAACAATGAGCGAATCAAATGTGCTTTCTATTTTAATCCTCAAATTCTCTGAGAATAAAATTAAAAAGGTGAAATTACCCGCAATCTCTCACAGCTACAGCCGAATTCTGCTGTCTGCTCTTTGGAGGAAGATCAGCCCTGCCCAGCTCAGCAGGGCTATGAGAGCCCTCTACCTCCCCTGTGGTGCCTCCTGATCACTAGACCCTGCTGCTCCCCCTCCCCTCCCCAGGCAGTAGGGGTTCCCAGAGAACGCAGAAGATGGGGCGCTTCCAGGGGAGGACAAAGCAAGTCCTGGGGTCCCACGGGGAGGTACAGTGGGCAAAAGGGATGTGAAACCCCATGGGCCTCAGTTTTCCTATTCCCTCTTCATGGGGGCTCCTGCTCCTGGTTCCAGGCCGGCTCTGGCCTGTGGTAGCTGCCTGCCAGGATCCCCGTGGGTAGGGGTGGGCTGCAGGTAGATGCAGGTGGCGCAGGGAGCGTCCCTCTGCTGACCCCCATGCAGGCCTGGCCAGGGAGGCCAGGAGGGACCAGGAGATGCAGAGTTGGCCCTGCTGGCCAGCTGGGGTCCCTCCATGGGGCCCCTCTGTGCCACTCCTGACACAGGCCCCAGGAAGCTGGGGCTCTGAGTCACTGCCTCCCACACGGGTCTCCCTCGAGACCTAGTGGGTGTGGGTCTTGGGGGACCTGTAGGCCCCCAGTGAGGGGCAGGGAGGGGTACCTGCTCCAGGGGACTCTGTCGCTTTCAAGGTGGTCCTGTTCTTAGGGCTTCTGAACCACAGCACAGGCCCCGGGCGTCCACCTGCAGGGAACCAGGAGGAGCTAGCCAGTGGCAGGGACAGGGCAGGGGCTGGGATGGGACAGCGCCTCCTAATGGGGGGCTCAGAGGCAGTGTCCAGGAGTCAGGACTGCCTGGGAGCAGTGTGTGGCTGGGACCCTGGCTTGCAAATGAGCAACTGGGGCAGTAACACGCTGCTGCTGACAAACCAGAATGCCCTCCCAGGTGTGAGTGGGTCCCAGGGCTCTGCCTTCTTTGCCAGCAGCAGCTCTAGGGCTCTTCGACCTAACTGCCCCAGACAGCATCCACAGTGCCAGGAGATCCACAGGGAAAAGGCCACCATAGGGCGGGTGGTGGGCAGAACAGTGGCCTCCAGAAAGATGTGTCTGTGTCCCAGCACCAGGGGCCTGGAGATGTGACCTTATTTGGAGAAAGGGTCTTGGCTTGCAAAATCAGGTGAGGAGCTTGGATGAGATCAGCCTGGGTTACCACAGTGGCCCAAATCCAACCCCAGGGGTCCTTACGAGACAAGACGGAGGAGGAGACACACAGAGCTGAAGCCCTTAAAGACACAGACAGGGACGGCAGCAAGGTGGCTAGAAGCCAAGAGCACTTGGAGGCCCCAGAAGCAGGAAGAGGCAGCAAAGCTCCTCCCCAAGCCTGTGGAGGGGTGTGGCCCCGCCCACACTACAACTTCGACTTCAGGTGTCCACGGGCGGAAGGCTACGTTTAGGCCCAAAGGGTGGTAGCAACCTGTGACAATGGCCCAAGGAAAGGGACACAGGGTGAGAGAGAGCACAGAGGGCTAGGGGCAAGGTGAGAGGCAGAGGAGACGCAGTGCCTGGTCCCAGGCCCATCTCCTCCTGAGCTGCTGCCCCTGTGAAACCGACCCAGGAGCTGGACAGCAAGGGAGCCCCGGGGACGCCCGGGTCTGGGGCCAGGCTTGGGGGACACACGGGAGAAGGCACGGGCACAGAGAGAGCAGCCAACAAGCCCACGACCCCGCTGGGCATGTTTGCCAAGGAGCTGGCCCTGGAGATCCAGCAGGAACTCTGTGCCAACTGGTTCACGGCCGGTGAAGAGGTCAGGGCAGAACATCCTGCTGTTGCCCCTGGGATGGCATCCCACGACAGGACCCGGGTGACAGCCCCTGGGACTGTGCACCGGAGGGGGACTGGACAGTCCACCCAGAGTCCAGTGAGCCAGAGCTCCCTGAGAGTCACATGCCAGAGCTGGGAAGGAGGGTGCTAAGCTGCTAGGTGGGCCCGGGATGGACGCCAGGGCTCCCCGAGGTCAGCCCAGAGACTCTGCTCCCTCTGGATGCCCTGGCTGTCCCTGAGGTTGGGGCGTGCAGCTGGGACCAGTCATCGAGGGCATTCATGGCCCCCTTTTCTAATCAGGGAATGGAGATCCTGAAACCACAGGCAGTGGGGCAGAAGGGCTGGGCCAAGGTCTCCCACAGGCCCCTGATGTCCCTGGGCTTGCCTGGAAGAGGGACAAGATCCCCCTGCCTTGGGAGGGTGAACCCAGGAGCCACCAGTTCTGGGCACTGAGGGGACCCAGACAGTCCCGGGTGTCTCCAGGGCAGTGCCTGGCACTTGCTGGCCTGGTGGGGAGGCCTGTCTTGTACTCCTAGGAGCCTGAGCCTCAGCAGCAAGACTCTGTCCGCAGCCCGTGATGTGCCAGCACCTCAGGCCAGTGGAGGCACTGCCACCTGCTCCCACCGAGCCTTTGTCACAGTCCTAGGGTGGGCTTGCTTGCCCTGGGCCCCAGCCCTGCCCCTCATTTCCAGGCCAGGCAAAGCACCGCAGCTCCATACAGCTCTCTTCTGGGCCTAGGGTCTGGACCCCTAGGGGAGCGGGTGACGTCTGGAGCCACCCTGCCGGGCTGTGTGCCGACTTCGGCTGCCGGCCTCTGCCGCAGTCTGCTTCCAGGGGTCTCCTCCGGGCACAGCCCGGGCTCCCGAGACCACCAGCAGGCCTGTGGGCACCGGGCCCGAAAGGCCTACGCAGGCCTCGGGGCGGGGCCCGGTGTGCGCGGGGCTGGAGAGCCTGCCCGGCTCCCACGCCCTCCCAGGCCCGCCGGGCGCCAGCGGCCCCGCCCCTCCGCGCCAGCCCCCGAGGAGGCGTGGTGGGGCGTGTCCGGCGCGGGCCGTCCCCCTGCCCCGCGCGCCGGCGGCCCCAGCTCAGTGCGCGGCGGCGGCGGGGCAGCTGGCGCCGCGCGGTCCGGCTCGGGCAGAGCGCACGGGGCTCTGCGGCGGAGGGACCGGCAGCGCGGGGCAGGCGGGCTGCGGGCCGACGCGGGAGCCACGGCTAGCGAGCCGGGGCCGGCGGCTGCCAGGTCAGGGCCTGGGACCCGCGGGCGCGGAGGGAGCGGAGGGCGCGGCGGGCCGGACCGAGCGGGGCCTGCGGCGGGCCGGGCGCGGCTTCCCGCTCTGGAAAGTTTGCCGCCGCCCTGGGAGGGCGCTGCGGCCGCAGAGGGGAAGGGGGGCGCGGCGGCGGCGCCAGGCGGCCCGGGAGTCCTGGGCGGGGCCGGGCCGGGCCGGGCCGATGACGCGCTCCCCTCCCGCAGACCCGGAGCGGCGCCGTCCTCGTGCCGGCGGCGAGGGCGCGATGCCCGCCTGAGCGCCTCCCCCGCCATGGGCGCCCCGGCCCGCGTCCTCGCGCTGTGCGTGGCGGTGGCCGTCGTGGCCGCGAGCGTCGGCGGCGCGGAGCCTGGTGCCGGGCGCGGAGCCGC